CTTATAATTCACAATTTCAATACTCAACCCCTTGATTTAAAAATATAAAAAGGGGAATTCAAGTACATTTTTCATTAAATAATTCATAAACATCACATAATATGTCCAACTCTTACTTGTATTAGTATTTTGGTCCTATCACAGATATCACATTTCATAAACTCACTCCTTAAGGCCCAAAATATACATACAACTCACAAAACATATAATGCAAACAAGAACCAAAATGAACTATTCCTAGTTGGAAAATTCAATTGTTACATACACATAAAGACTCAAAATAAAAAGACCTACTAATAGGATCACAGTCTTATGCCTCTGGCTATTTTTCTCTGTCTGATCCTCTTAAGATATTTCTTGTAGTATTGAAGATAATGGGATAAGTACAACTACTCAGTAACCATGGTCCAACTAACTCATACTAATGCATGTCAATTAATTTAAATGTAAATGGCTAATTAATATAAGATTTCAAACCACAAATCATTCTCTAGAACATAAAATCCACATTTTCAAGCATAAAGGCACATGCTCAAAAGATTATGATTAGTGAGCACCATTTCATATAATAGAATAACTAATCATATAGTCTATCAACATAATTTCTCATGGAACCAAGTTATACACTCATTTATCAACATTAGGGTCACAATACATATAACTATGTGCCCCTTTTCACTATATGCATTTTCACACCTCTTTTATATCCTCCTTATTCTTCTGACATAAAATCATAGGCTATAGTACACTTGGATAGTCTATACTCTCAGACTTCCCTAGCATAAACACTTGGGAAGGGACTACTCGGCCAAGGTTTACTTAACTTACTTGTGAAACATAGTTTCCTCATTTTCTCACACTATAAAGTGTCATTTTTCTTAAAATAGCTTTCTCGTTAAACTAGTAGATAGCTAGTTAGGTTCAAATCCCTCATTGAACTAATGAGACAGTCTCTCATTAAACAAGTAAGACAATATGTATATAAACAATTCAAACAAGCTATCAATTCAAATAAGAGCCCTATCATGTAGATTTAATTCTCTACTCCTCTTCCTATGTGAACTCTCACCTCTCATGATCATGTGATGCATAGATATGCATTATTACAAGCAAACATTTACTCATCATTGAACCTAATCATAAATAGAACAATTATATAATACACACCCAATCAATTTATTGAACTCCACTTATCTATTTCATTAAACTTCTCATTCACAAATTCATTGAACTCCTTAACCTCACCTTTTTGTTGAACTTTACAAATTGATTCATTGTATCATATATATATCAGTCATTGAACTCACATTTCTCAACTTTATCGAACTTCAATTTAATTATTTAGCTCACAATTCACATCATTGACTCCCAATTAAACAAGTCATTGAACTTCATGTTTTCATAATCATTGTACCTTACCCATTAATAATCATTGAAATCCATAATTTCAAAATCATTAAATTACCTTAAATCACTACTTCATAGTAGGCTCTTCAAACAAAATAAGCCACATTTTTATTTTAATCAATCTCATACAATTCAATTATCAAATATCAATTAATAAACTAATTAACACACAAAAGTACAAGATAGAATTTCTCCGGTTACCTCAAAACTTTTGAGAGATCAAAAGTTTTACCCCTTAATTACTTACTCTCAAGGATTTCAAGAAGTTTGAATGGTGCCAATAAGGTTACTCTATAAGCATTTATATTATAATTCATCAATATCCATAGTTGAGCTAATTTTCACCGTTAAATTAACACTTCTTCATGCTTAAGATTCATTCTATACTCATATAAAATAATCATAAAGTTTCTTAGATTCCTTTAACCCTCATTAACATTATTGAGCTCTTTAATGATTATTAATGGAGTCACATTGTTCCCAACCAACTTATTTATGAAAATTTCACATATTAAATGCTTCTCAATCACCAATCATCATAACTTTATAAATACCATGTTTCATTAGCTTAATCTACTCCCATTAACTCTATTTAAGTCAATAGATTTAGACCTATAGCCTATATGGATCGAAAACCATCATTATTAACCAAACCCTAACTTCTAATACCAAGAAAATGGAAGAAGGAAGGAGGATTTAGGTAAAGGAAGCTTACCTTTAATGTTTATGAGCTCCAAAATACTCCCAATACTCAAATTCTTCAAGTCTTAGCACTGCTCTTTTCATTTCTTTTCACCTCTTCTTTATTTCTTTTCTCTATTGCATTAGTTTTGTGATGTTATTACAGCAAAAAAGTATCCATGTGCTGTGGCGCATAGCACAGAAAGTATCCCTTCAAGCTTGTCAAGACATACGCTCCATGGTGGCCTGATCCTCAAGCTGCGGTGCACGGCACAGAACCTTGCCTTCAAGATTTCTTCCTCTTCTCATTCTTGAGTGACCCAATTCTCCTTCGAACTCACTTCTAGGGTTGGAATTAAAATCAAACACGCTTGTTAAGCCTCTCTGGACACACTCCTCATTAATACACATAACTAATCTAATTTAGTCTTAATTAATTCAGTTTAAAATCAAGGATGTTACATATTAGGCACTGGTACTTCTATTATCTTTAGAGGTACTAATCAAGCACATCTTATGTATATTGTCATTGAAGAATTTATGTTCTACTCATTTCTTATTATTGTGTTCTTTTTGTATAGATTAAGGATCGGCATAATGGGAACTGTTGTTGAGAGACTAAAGATGGATTGAAATAATTTCGATTTGAAGAGTGACAATTATGACTGGAATGGGAAATTAAACTCATCAAATTTCAATATATTCGATCATTTTGTTGGAATGAGATTTTCTAAAAAATTAGTTTCAAAAGTAATTCAAGAAATGGGAAAGAAAATGACATTAAACCTCCTTACGTTTATATGACAATGTTGCATTTACACCCAAAGGTGTTTAATGAATAATATCTAGATTATTATATTATATCACTGTAATGTAATGTAATGTAGTTTATATTGTCATTAGATGTAAAAGCATGTTATTGTTCAATGATAAATTGATTTGTTAGCATTCAATTTTTGTTCTTTTTACTTTAAGCTGGTGTGATTAAACTTTATATATAACAATAGTGACAATTAAGAATATCTCTTGATGTTTTCATAAAAAATGAGCAAATTTTCAAAATATTCATTTATGTTTTCAGAATATTCATAAGTGCTTTTGTGAAAAATGAGTAAATTTTCAAAATAAACATTTGCATTTTCAAAGTATTTATATGTGTTTTTATGAAAAATGAGTAAATTTTTTAGAATATCCTTTCGCGTTTGCATGAAAAAAGGAAAAAATTTTGGAATATACATTTATTATATTCTAAAAAGACAATATTGGTGCAATATCCAAACCTTAATTTCTGAGCCATATTCGAATATGCATTTTAGAATCCTAAAAATGTAATTTTTCTTTCATTCATTTGAATAATCATTTTGAATATGTTTTATGACCAAATGCATGTATATTTAACCATATAAAACTTTTCTTTTATGATATACAACCATCCTTTAAGGAACTATAATTTTTCTTTCATTTATTCGAATAATCATTTTGGATATTTTAAAATTTTTATACTTAGTGTCATGTTTTGAGACATATGCAAGTATTTTCAACTATATGCAATTTTTCTTCCATGATATGGAACCATCTTTGAAGGAAATACAATTTTCCTTCTATTTATTTGAACATATAGAAATGATATTTGAATATATGAAAGAAACATCATATAAACGACTCTTCTTTCATGATATGCAACCACCTTTCAAGAAAATACAACTTTTTTTCCATTTATTTAAATATGTAAAATTGATATTCGAATATAGGAAAGAAATATTGTATATGCAATTTTTTTTCATGATATGTAACCACTCTTAATAAATTGCCGCCACAGGACCTTGTTTAATATATGGATATTATTAAGTATTGACATGAAATTATTGACAATGAAGGCCCTTGTAATATATTGACAGCAAAAGACCTTGTGAAATATTAATAGCGAAGGACCTTACTCCACTTTTTTTGCCTTTTTTTTTCACAGCAAGGGCATTTATGTCATTTAGCCCTTAGCAATTAATGCTAGCAAGGGACCCAATTTTGGAATTTGACCTAAATCCTTAGCAAATAAATTTGTAATGAGGTTTTGGGCAATTTTCCCTATCTTTTCCCCCCGTTTTTGTAGTTTTATAAATGAATCCAAAACATGTGACTTGGTTGCTGTACGATCTCCTCCACTACCAAATCAGAACACCTAAGCCACAACCATACAAGGTCACGCGTACTGTGGTCCAATATAAGTATGTAACCCATATTACTTCTTAATAATTGGGCTGATTTTCATTTGTGAGTTCTCATAAAAATAGGCCTATATCTCGGTTTGTTTTTTGGTAACTGCACGATTTTTCCATAATCCACAAATTTCTTGATTACAGTGAGAGCGTGAACATGATCAGACACGAAAAATTCCACTTCTTCAGGGAAAAAAAAAATCACCCTAAAATCTTCACTTGGTAATATTTCCTTGAAAAGTCTTATTAATTTTAGAAGCGCGAGGCGAGAGATACTAAATTGTAAATATTAGTAATAATTTTTCTTTTTACCGAAAAAATTCAAAAGGAGGATTGTCCTCATCCAAGTGCGAAAATAAAAATCTTCTTAGAACCAACGCTCCAGTGCTGCCTTTGCTTAGCAATAGTAGCAGAGCCAGAGCATCCCGTGATGTGCCTTGTCTTTTTTTTTTTTTTTTTGATCGAGACGTGCCATGTCTTTACTTAGTCATTTGATCTATTCATAGGAGTTAGTATTGCAAAGGAGTACGTCAGCTTTCTCGTTTCAATCTGAATTTAACTTGTCAAGAAAACGTTAAACTCTGAATTAAAACTTGTCAAACTCTGAATCACAACTTGTCATTAAAGTTTTGAAATCACATGATAATTTCCAAAAAATCTAAATTATAAGTTTGCAATATTATTGCACTCGTCAAAATCTAAATTACAACTTGTCTCTAAAATTTTTGTAGCCATTGATGGTGGTCCGGCCACCAGTGCCAAAAACCTGCTACTATAGGACCTGTTTTCATATAAGGATTTGTTTTATTTTTTTGCATTCAAATTTATTTTCAATTTGTTCCTTAGATTAAGTAGTTTCACAAGCTTTTGTCCTTTTACGCTAATAATTCCTCCTCAATTGATATTTTCTCATATTCTTCTTATCACTATCTTTTCCAATGCAAATTGGCAGAGTAATAATGGCGTGGTTGGCAGCTTGCTCAAGCTTGGTTTTGGTGGCTTTGCTTGCTCTTGCAGTTCAAGTAGTATACTTCTCACCCATAGACCCAATCATAGTTGAAAGGCCTCCACTCGCTTCTCCTTTCGCCGTCAACAACCATTTACAGAACGTCATCAAGCTCGGTGAAGGAATTCTGAAAGATCCGGAAGATGTTTGTGTGGATAAACATGGCACTCTTTATACGGCTACAAGAGATGGTTGGATCGTCCGATTACACCGAAATGGATCCTGGGAGCACTGGAAGAACATCCATAGTCCTACGATGCTCGGAATTACAGTCACGACACAGGGGGCTCTCATTGTTTGTGATTCTGACAAGGTATTCAATTGTTCTACTCTTTCATTTCCAGACTTGTTTAAGGAAGAACCATACGCAACTGGTTAGGCCTCTCACAGCTTTCTGAGATACAGGAGTATTTGATGTGCGTGTGCAGGGGTTGCTTAAAGTCACAGAAGACGGTGTCAGCGTTATTGTTTCTCAAGTGAACGGTTCTAAATTAAGGTAACAACTTTGTTATATAATCTTATTAATTGGAATTGGAAATGCTTCATTAATGCTTGGGGTTGCTGGTTTGGGCTTATCATTTGGGTAGATTGGCGTGTCCCCAAATCTATTGTGTTTGAGAAGTTTCCTCATTTGATTCTGGTGCGATTTTAACAGAAATGATAATGCATCTTTAATTAAAAAAGATGAATAACGAAGTCATCCTATAGCAATGAACATTATGAAACAAAATAACAATGAAAAATCACGAAACGAGATATTGTTGGACTATAGGTTTGCAGATGAAGTGGTGGAAGCGTCAGATGGGAGCTTATATTTCAGCATTGCCAGCACCAAATATGATCTGCATGAATGGTATCTAGATGTGCTGGAGGCAAGACCTCATGGGCAATTGCTCAAGTACAATCCATCCTTAAAAGACACCTCTGTTTTCTTAGATAATCTGAGCTTTGCCAATGGCGTTGCTCTCTCAAAAGACGAAGACTATCTCTTAGTCTGTGAAACATGGAAGTAGGTCTATCTCAACTCTTAGCCAACATATACTTCCTTCTTTTCTAATATATATATTTATTTATTTATTTATTTATTTATTTATATGTTAGTAGCTTTATTTCCTGTAAATCAGATACAGGTGTCTGAGGCACTGGCTCAAAGGCGAGAAGAAAGACAAGACAGAGACTTTCATTGACAATCTTCCTGGTGGACCTGATAACATTCATCTTGCTCCTGATGGCTCTTTCTGGATTGCTATGCTTCAGGTAAATGTTAATTGGTGAACTACGTCGAGTTCAAACTAATTGTATTGAAATGATTTCTTTTTCACTTACAGGTCACTGATGAAAAACTGGGGTTTGTGCACTCTTGGAAGGTATTGAAGCACTTGGTGGCCTCATTTCCAACACTGATTAATGTCGTGAGAGGTATTTATAAGAAAGCAATGGTGGTAAATGTGGGGAGCGATGGTGAAATAATTAGAATATTTGATGATGATGAAGGGAAGGTGATGAATTTTGTGACCTCAGCTTTGGAGTTTGAGGACCATCTTTATTTGGGAAGTCTCAATTCCAATTTCATTGGGAAACTACCTTTGCGCATTGAAAAATAAACTAGCTATCTACTGATCGATGCAAGTTAAGCTTTCATTTCAAGTCATGGTTCTGTATTCCGTCTGTATTCTCAATTCAGTGCCTCTTTTCTGGTTTCATGAATATGAATGATCTGACTTAGCTGTTTCTTTTTTTAGACTTACAGTAAATTACTATCTAGATATTGCAACATATTAAAATTCAAATTAATATTATAAAAAATTATTTGTATCATGGTTTAAAATATTTTGGAAACAACATAACTGATAACACAGATTTTCATTTGATATATAGTATAATATAAATTTTAAAAATAATTATTTTTATTTAATAATATGTTATTCCCGTGCATATTAAAAACTTAAACTTCATATTTTATTTTTGAATTTATTATCCCATGCACTTGATATATTATAGATTATTTAATAATTAAAAGCTAATCTAGAAAGTACAAATAAATATGTTAAAAAGATATTATAAAAACTTTTCATCTAAACAAAAACTTATTATATTTTATAATTTGCTACCCATGCTTATTTAAAATTTTAAAAATATATTTTATTTTAAAATTTATTACCTGGTGCATATTAAACATATAAACAGAAACTATTTTTTAGTATTTTTACTGTCATATTAAAATAAGTGTAAATAAAAAAATATCTTATTATAATTTTAAAAGGGGGAATAAAAAAGGTAGCACAAAATGTAAGGAAAAGAAAAAAAATGAAAAATATAACTTAAAAAAAATGAGAGAATTGTGTTGAAGTCTCACACAAAAAAAAAATTAATTTATCATAAAATTTATTAATAAATAAAATAAGGTTATTATATTGTCAATAATTTTAAGTTAATTGCTAATGTACTTTATGATAATTGTAGGAGCTTATGTAATTTTCCTTTAAAAAAAAAGAACAAAAGGCACGATTTTCATAGCACTGCTGTTCGTTGCATCCAACTTTCAGGATGGTGATAATTGGTGATTGATGAAATATCTGGGTCATTGGCTATGGTACGAACAAATCGTCTGAGGAGGGATAAGCCTCGTCATTCTTATCATAAACTGCCTGGTACCTTGGAAAGTCCCAAGACTAATAATGGCGTTGTTGGCGGCAGCCTCAAGCTTGGTTCTGGGGGCTTTGCTTGCTCTCGCAGTTCAAGTGTTGTACTTCTCTCCCATTGACCCCATCATAGTTGAAAGGCCTCTACTGTTAGCTTCTCCTTTCCCCGTCAACAACCATTTACAGAACATCATCAAGCTCGGAGAAGGCATTCTGAAACATCCCGAAGATATTTGTGTGGATGAACATGGTATTCTCTATACAGCTTCCAGAGATGGTTGGATCATGCGGTTACATCGAAATGGGTCCTGGGAGCACTGGAAGAACACTCATAGTCATTCAATGCTCGGAATTACTGTCACAAGACAGGGTGCTGTCATTGTTTGTGATGCTGACAAGGTAATCAACAGATCATTTCTTTCATCAGCAAATTACTTGGCTTGGCTACAGGCCTCTAATCTAAACAGACAAGACTTTCATGAGCTTAATTTATGAGATTTAGGAGTAGTGTAATCTGATGTACAGGGATTGCTTGAAGTCACAGAAGATGGTGTCACTGTTCTTGTTTCCCAAATGAAGGGTTCTAAATTAAGGTAAGAAAGTAACTATGCGTGATCGTTTTCGAAGGTTTTCGGAATTGTTTTTGCATCCTCCTAGGGCAGCTAGCTAGGCTTTCTCAATTACTGTATGGTGAAGACACAAAACAGAACAGTTTGTACAATAAGGCAGATTTTATTGTTGGTAAATGAGAGAAGAAATGATGACTATATAATTAAATTTGTGTTATATACAACGATACAAGGTTTGCAGACGAAGTAGTAGAAGCTTCAGATGGAAGTTTATATTTCAGCGTTGCCAGCACTAAATATGATGCACGCAATTGGTATCTAGACGTGTTGGAGGCGAGACCCCATGGTCAATTGCTCAAGTACAATCCATCCTTGAATGAGACTTCTGTTTTCTTGGATAATCTGAGCTTTGCCAATGGCGTTGCTCTCTCAAAAGACGAAGACTATCTCTTAGTCTGTGAAACATGGAAGTAGGTCTATCTCAACTCTTAGCCAACACATACTTCCTTCTTTTCTATTATATATATATATATATATATATATATGTTAGCAGCTTTATCTCCTGTAAATCAGATACAGGTGTCTGAGGCACTGGCTTAAAGGCGAGAAGAAAGGCAAGACAGAGACTTTCATTGACAACCTTCCAGCCGCACCTGATAACATTCTTCTTGCTCCTGATGGCTCGTTCTGGGTGGCTTTGGTTCAGGTAATTCATTAAAGTAATTAATTAATCCACTAGCTAGGGATCGAAAGTTTAAATTCAAAATACAGATATTGAGTTCATGCCTTTCAAAACTGATGTCACATACAGCTCACTTCTGAAAAGATGGGGTTCGTGCACTCTTCAACGATATTAAAGCGCTTGGTAGCTACGTTTCCGAGCCTAGTTAATGTGGTTAGTGGAGCGTATAAGAAGGCGATGGTGGCCAACGTCGGAACCGATGGTAAGATAACCAGAATATTTGATGACGACCAAGGGAAGGTGGTGAGCATGGTCACTTCAGCTTTGGAGTTCGAGGACCATCTTTATCTTGGAAGTATCAATTCCAATTTCATTGGAAAATTACCACTTTGAAACCACAACTAGCTTAAATTCCACTCTGAATCCGATTTCATTTCCAGTCATGGTTCTGCGTTCAGCCCATGAATCCTTGATTTAAGAAACGAGTTTATACTTTTATGGCTTCTGAACTGTTTATTAGTTTATTACTTTTCCTCTGTTTTAAAATTTATATAAAATATTACTCCACGAGAATATAATTATACTATCATTTAATGCAATACTTCAGAAAGATGAGACGCAAATCACAATTGTAGCTAATTGAATGAGGTATAGTTGGAAAAAAAAAAAACAAACAAACAAACAAACCAGAATATTGACATATTCCCAATTTCTAATTATTATTTTTTTCAACCAATTTTTGGGCCAGGTCGGGCCACAGACAATGTGCCATCCACCTAGCCTATGATACTTACTATAAAAGAATTTAATCTAACTTGCATAATTTTAAAAAATTTAGTTAATCACAATAATTATGTCTAAAATTAAAATATTTATATTAAAATATCCTTGTAATTAATATTTATCTTTTCTTTTAATTTAATGATTGATATTATCCATTTAGAAGTGACAGTTTTTTAAAAAATGTAATTAAAACTTGTTAAAATTTATATTTTTGCTTATAATAAAAAGCAAAGAAACACAGGGTAGCTTCTTAAAATGTAATTAATATTTTTTAATTTATACTTAATATATTTTTATTCAATCAAATGAGAATAAGAAAATTTTTAAGTTTTAACAATATTAATAATAAGAGTTTGATATAAAATAAATAATATATAAAAATAAAATCACATGAATAATGTATAGAGTATTTTTAATTTAAAAAAATTATTAAGAATTATAAAATTATTTTCTAAACAAAGATATTTTGAACTAATGCAATTATATTTTTTATTAAGAAAAAATTTATTTTAATTTTTTATTTTTCTTACTTTTTTTTATACTCATTCAATATCACAAGCTTCAATTAATTCAAATTCGAGCACTGGAAAGCCTTAAAAAGAGTGGCTCTCTTTAGCATATTTTTTCTATTCCTATCACTTGAGGGATCAAACTCAAGAGTTGATGGTTAAGAGAACCCAGACTTTTTTATCATTTGAGCCTGATTTTTTTTTAACTTTTTTTGTTTATTATAAGATTTTTACAATGAGTTGTGAGACAAAACTTGGCCAAGATTAGTAGGAGTTTTGGCCAGCTCATCTTAGTCAAATGAATACTTTTTTTTTATTGTCTAAAATATCCTCACAACCCATAATTATGAGACTAAGGGTTTATAAATTAAGAATTCAAACCCCCTTAGTCCATGAACACTTTTAATTAGTTGCCCTGGTTTTCATTGGTGCGGAAACATCTTTTGGGATTTCAATTAATTTTGGGCTTTGACCCTCCTTGTTTACACCAAAAAAACAAAAACAAGCAAAGCAGATGTCATAAATTATTATTAAAACTTCAATGAATAATGCGATCTTAGAATTCAAAATGAATTAATTTTAATTTGACCATTGGTAATCGGGTGAAATGGAGATGATTTGATTATTTTGTAATTAAGATTGATGATTTAAATTCTTTTTTTTGTACAAATTGATGATTTAAATTCTGCAGATGAAAGAAATTACGTATTCAATTCACGGACAATATTTAAATTTGTTAGATTGTTAGATAGTACTAAAAATTATATATTTATATAAGAAATTAAATTTAACTTTATTGAAAGCACGTAATCAGTAACTAATTAACTTACAATATCTACTCATAAATTATTGAGTATCAAACTACTTAAATTTAAATCTATACAATATAAAATTCTTTTTTTAAGTCAAATATCAATAATTACATAACATTTATACTATATTGTAGAAACGAAGTATTATTCATTTTTTAATAAATTCATATAAGTTTTCTTGTGAGATATATATACATATATTCACACTAATTATTCAATCTAGCCCATCTTGAAAAAAGTTATGAATTATGAAATTATTATTTTTAAAATCAGATTGAACATATACATATAAGTTTTCTTGAAAAGTAGAAACAACGTAACGCCTGAAGCTTTAATATATCCATGTATATGGTTCATGCCAGTCTTGCGCGTAGCAAATTCCAAGAGTTAACAATGGAGTGGTTGGCAGCCTGCACGAGCCTGGTTCTGGTGGGTTTGCTTGCTCTCGCAGTCCAGGTTCTCTACTTCTCTCCCATAGACCCAATCATTGTCGAAAGGCCTCCATTTTCGGCTTCTCCTTTCCCAGTCAACAACCATTTACAGAATGTCGTCAAGCTCGGTGAAGGAATCGTCAAACATCCCGAAGATGTCTGTGTGGACAAACATGGCACTCTCTATACGGCTAGCAGAGATGGCTGGATCCTGCGATTACACCCTAATGGGTCCTGGGAGCACTGGAAGAACACTCATAGTCATACCATGCTCGGAATTACTGTCACGACACAGGGTGATGTCATTGTTTGTGATTCCGACAAGGTGGTCAATTTATCTGCACGCTTTCTTTTCCAAACTTGATTACTTTCAGAAGACCGATATATAGACACCATTGTATACTGTCTAGGCCTCTGATTTGATGAGATTTTCTGCTTACTCAGATTCTGGGGTATAATGATGTGCAGGAGTTGCTTAAAGTCTCAGACGATGGTCTCACAGTCCTTGTCTCTCAAGTGAACGGATCTAAATTAAGGTAAGAACGGTGCCATATAATATCAATTGGTATTGCAAGACTGCCTTTAAACTTGTTTTTCTTCCCCCAAGGGGAAGCTGATTAGGCATTATTATTTGCCAAAACTGGTTTGCCCCCAAATCTAGCACGAATCACTAATTGGCTAAAGTAAGAATTAGGCATGAGAAGATAGGCCTTGCTTCTCCGAGGTCCATACCAACAATGAGGTCCGCATTCCCAGTCAGTTAGACTTTTGTGTAGATTGGTTTTTCCCAAAATTAAATTTGTATCGTCAAAGAGACGCTTTAGTTGAACTGTTGAAGAGTCTAACTCAAACATCAAAGTCATGAATAAATAGTTGGTCAGTGTTCAAGAGACGCTCCATTAACACAACTAACGGTGCAAAAATAAATCAGTAATTAGTGAAGTACTTAGCAATACTTGGTTTTGGTGTTAACGTGGGCTTGGACTGTGAAGAGGCCTGCCACTTTGGGCCTAGAAGGGATGTACGGGCCGCGGGGAAGGAGTGCAGATACATAGGCAGAGGAAATGCCAACTGGGAGGCGTGATGGATGAACTATTGAGTCTTTCTATCATTCTGACATTTCTCTCGTTAGATCTGGCCACAGTCCTCGTGACAGCGAAGTTTCTACCAAATGATAATGATATGAACTCCGCATATTTACTTCAAACGAAAAACACAACTCAGTAATCTTTTAATTTGAAATGTTTGAACTAATCAGTAAACAAGTGAAAGTGGTAAATGACTTTTTACCCAGTACACTAATGATTTGATTTGAAATGTTTGTATACAGGTCTGTAGATGAAGTGGTGGCAGCTTCCGATGGAAGCTTATATTTCAGCGTTGTGAGCACCAAGTACGATGTGCACAATTGGTATCTAGATTTGCTGGAGGCAAGACCTCACGGCCAAGTTCTCAAGTACAATCCATTCTCAAATGAAACCAGTGTTGTTTTAGACAATCTGAATTTCGCCAACGGCGTTGCTCTTTCCAAGGACGAAGGCTATCTCGTGGTCTGTGAAACTTGGAAGTATGTCTATTATTTTCACCAACCAACACACATTGTTTCGCTTCCCAACTCTTGACACGCTAATACTTTATTTCCTATAAATCAGACTTCGTTGTCTGAGGCACTGGCTGAAAGGAGAAAAGAAAGGCAACACACAAATATTTATTGATGACCTCCCCGGTGGACCTGATAACATTCATCTTGCTCCTGACGGCTCTTTCTGGGTGGCTTTGGTTCCGGTAAAGATTTTTTAAAGTCACTAATTAATTAATTATAATTAATTAATTAATTAATGTTGCATCATTAAACATGAAATGATTTCCTTCAAATAAAAACTGAAATGATGTGATATGCATGTGCTTTTGGAGAAGCCGGCTTTTGTGCTGTCTTCCAGCTCCAAGTTATTAAAACACTTGATGGCTTCATTTCCAAAACTAATCAGTGTGGTGGCACCGCCGATTAAGAAGGCGAGGGTTGCAAATGTGGGAAGCGACGGTGAGATCATTCAAATATTGGATGATGAGGAAGGGAAGGTAATGAGTTTGGTCACTTCAGCTTTTGAATTTGATGGCTATCTTTACTTGGCAGATCTCAATTCTAACTTCATCGCAAAATTACCATTACCTGCGGAAGCCATGTCCGCCTAATCAATAAACTTTTGTCTCAGCTAATCGCCTTTTTGTTCTTCTTCTTGTTTTTTTGGCCTCCTATATCATATTACGGTATATTTATGAAATGAAGGCACGAGAAAGCTGCCTAGAGATAGATCGTGTAATCATGTATCTCGTGTGGTTCACAGTACATCGTGACTTCGTATCCGAATGTGACAAATACGTCGACGCTTGGCATCGCACCAAAAACATTTCGTCATCATGACTCTTGAACTTGATGGAATTATATTTCCAAAATTTATATATTTATTTATATAATTCATATTATTTCAAAGTTCAAAATTACTTTATAAATTTTCCATGCATTTTTTAATGGTCTTGAATAAAATGATTCTTCGCGAAAATATTTAGCATTTAAAAGGTAGTACAAGAAAATTGTGTAGCAGAAAAAGTTTAGGGACAATTTCATGCTATATTTTAAATTTTAGTCAAAACATAATATTAAAAAAATTAGTTAAAACATAATCACATTCAAGAAAGGTATAAAGTCGTCAGTTCCTCAAAAAAGTATCATCTTGCTTTCCCAAATAAGATGTTTTAGATTTTTTTTAAATAAGACCTTTCAAAAAATATGTAAATATATTAATTCGCAGATCTCTTAGGCAAAAATATTATATACACAAATTTTTTTTTGTAAAAGAACTACTTTCTTCATATCAAATTATAAAAAACTTTTAAAAGAGTTTTTTTGTCTCAAAATATAAAATATTTTAGATAAATTAAAGTTTTATTAAATGTATCAATTTTAATTTTACTTTCTCTCCTTATAATTAATTCTTATTCCTTCTTTTTTCAATATATTAAAAAAATGATATTTTTTAAAAAAATTATATTTTTATTTTAAAAAGATAAAATTATTAAATATATTTAATAAAATTTATTAATACATGATATTTTAAAAATATTTTATAATTTAAGATGGAAGATGTAAAATGCACCCAAAATTTTAATAAGATTGGAAAATTGCTTATCCAGTTCATCGTTACTGCTTAGAGGGAGACAGAGAAGAGAAACATACAAAAAAATGGAAAGGGAAAGCGATGGCTACAAGGAAAGGATCATTATAATCATAATCGTTATTATATTATGTTCTAGTGTATATTTAGGAAAAATCCTGACCTATATTTAATATTTCATTGATTAATTAATTTTTTATAAATAATAATATAAAATCCTTAATAAAGTGTACTACATTTATGAACTCATTTCCACAACCCACACTAATTAATTGCTATAATAATAAATAAGAAAATAGCACCCATACTCCTCCTCCTCCTCCTTCACAGAGGGCTATTATTTTTCCTTTGAACCAGCGTGATATCTTTTCAACTGAGGTTCAGGCATCGTGGTCCCTCCATTGTTATTCATTTTCCGTCGGCCGCGATCTCCGCCATTCCCCTTACCTGATCAGGTCTCTCTTTAAGATTTCGTTTTTCTGAAATTATTCCAAATTGCCCTTACTTTATTCAAATTATTATTTCTCTATGCTTTCCCCTCTCTTCCTAATAATCTTCATTTCAGGAAATTATTCTCCGCTGGGTAACTCTTCAATCTTACCGTTATTGTTCTTGATTCACCAACTCTTCGTTCGGGAACATATTATATTACAATTTCTCATCTGTGGAGGCTAGTTTCTCGTGGATTCAGCAAGTTGTTGTTCTGTATCTGAATCAGGTAAAATCACCTTTTGTTTTTGATATGACGGCGGCTAATTAAGTTGAGGTGCTTCTTCCAAAAAGGCCAGATCCATTTTTTATTTTGAAAAGGGAAGCGCAGTGGTTGAATTGTCTGTTTTTAATATATAGTTACCCAATGTACTGAGATACGCGATATGTTTTTATCTTCTTTAAACTGACATCAAATTGATTAAGGTTGTCATCTCTTGTTCTTTCTGTCTTATCTTTCTTTCACTTGAGCTGAAACAGTTGTTAAAAAGGAAAGGTGGTAAACTTATTTTCTGCTTGTGTTTAGACTCTAGTGTTTTGATCTTTTTAAACAGTTTGTGATTTGTGTTCCCTTTGTGTGAAAATGTCGGGTATGAATGAAGCTCAAAAATAGTGCATCTGCCCTGATTTTGTTGAACTTCTCTTTTTGCCCCCTAATCTAGTTACAATACCTTCTTATTATAAGTTTCATAGATTTTTCGTTTATTGGACCTAAGGTTCAGGACACTTTTTGTTTTTGCAGGATGAAGGGAGGCTTAAATGGGTTGAAGGGTAAAGAAATTTCACTTATTTCCATTGTTCTCATGTCCGCGACTATTCTTTTATGGACCTGGGAGAAAACCCCAGGTCTTACAGCCTTTCTTCCTCCTCAAACACAACTGCAGCTATCTTCAGGTTCCATCAGAGAATTCCTTTGGTTCTTGATATTCTATCAACATGGCAATATTAATCAGTTTTTTATTTTTTTCAATGAAGGTAGAAACATATGTATTGTTATTTTTCCATTAAAAATTTTCTGACAGTGTTACAGAGTTATCCTTCTATCTGAGTTCGGACTGTACATGTCCTCTGTTTGTCTTAAAATCAGAAAATCCCATCACATATTGTCCTGTGGTGTGGTCAAAATGGACATTAAATTTTTAGCATCTTCATAATAAATACTACTCTGTGCTCCAAACTTAGAAAGTTCCAGCTAGGTAGTAAGCACACATTTTTCCTGGTGTTTTATTTATAGCCGTTGCTGCATTTGCTGCAGAAGTAGGTGGAGGTGGAGGTGGCTCTACCAATAAGCAGGAAGAACTACAATTAAATGGAGTGACTCAAACAGTTTCTGCAGAAAGCTCTTCTAGAAGGAGCATTGATGAAAGCCATACAATAACTACTACACTTACAGAACGTAAGATACTGTTTTATGTTATCCTCGTTGACAATATGTCCCTCTTGGGTGGCATCCTCTATATCAATGAGTATATGTTCACCTTTATATGGAGCTGTTTTGTGCTTAATCTGGTCATTGCTGTTGTAGTGAATCTGTAATGCGTATTTTTATCGTAACCTATCTGGTATGTTAAATGCAATGCCATGATGCAGATATGTTCTTCCAAAATCCCATACATGCTAATATCAATATAAAATGAGTTTCAGCTTTCAACATCATTTTAGCATTACAACATTTAGCAATTCGCATATAATCTTTCAGTTCTCTCACCTGTTTCTTTGAGCGTATACCAACTCAATGCTATGCTAAATCTTGAACCTTCTCTCTCATTGTGTGATATTGTAGAAATTCACTCAAAGTCATCGGATGACAAAGCTGAAGTAAAAGAAGTCCTAGAAGCTGGGAACAGTCACATTGCACAAACTCTTTCCAATCCAGAAAAAATTAATGAAAATAGGCATCAAGAAGAAGGGAAGGAAGCATCAAAAGAAGCAGAAAGTAGAACAGACGTTGTAGCTTCAAATCAGTCTCCACAAATAAGCTATTCAGTTGATAGAAAAGACAACGAAAATTGGAATAATGTTACAGAACATAAAGGTAACGGATTTTTACTTGACATACCAAGCTATTGTATTGTCCATCAAGTTCCTGACATGTTCAAACTAATTCAAATATCTATATACATGTATATATTGTCAGTTGAACTAAAATTAATACATGTTCTTGCAATGGCCTTTCAAATAATGAATTTTTACTTTGGAGAATATCTCTAATCGTTTCTGAGAAACTAACTTTTTTGTTATTTATAGACCAGTTTCGAAACCTTCAAGTATCATTATCAATGGTTTGACAAGAGTTACCATTCTGTTTGTTCCTTCCATTTGTTGGCAGGGGCATGCTAGGTAGCGCTTAATCATTATTCTGAGTGGGTTTTGTAAATGAGAAACTTTATACATCTCCATGGTCCTGAATTGGGATGATAAAATTTATACTGCATATGTAAATTCTGCTCAGTGGCTCCACCCACCAGTGAACAGGCTACTGCAACAGTGATTTTGTGCATAATTGTTGGACTTATGAACTTTCTATTAGTAAGTACTGTCTAAGTAATGATTGTTCTCCTGTTGGCACTTTCTCCAGCCTGTAACTTTGCAAAAGGAAAATGGGTTCTGGACAACAACCGGCCTTTGTATTCAGGGTTTGAATGCAAGCAGTGGCTGTCAGCGATGTGGGCTTGCCGGTTGACACAGCGTACAGATTTTGCTTATGAGAACATTCGATGGCAGCCAAAAGATTGTCAAATGGAAGAATTTGAAGGATCTAAATTCTTGAGAAGGTATTTCATTCTTTTCACTCAGTTGAGGAATGCTTGATTAAGTATAAGTTGTGCTGAAATTTTTTCATTCTTCAGAAAAAATATCCCATAGATGTCTGGTCAATTAATGATGTTCTTTGTGTATTTAGGATGCAAAACAAAACTCTAGCTTTTGTTGGAGATTCATTGGGCCGGCAGCAGTTCCAGTCTTTAATGTGCATGATCACAGGTGGCAAGGAGACAACTGATGTAGAAGATGTGGGGAACGATTATGGGTTGCTTTTAACTGAGGGTGCTGCTCGTCCTAATGGATGGGCTTACCGTTTCCCAAGCACCAATACTACCATCCTGTACTACTGGTCGGCAACTCTTTGTGACATTGAACCTATTGATTCAAATAACCCCAATACTGAGTATGCCATGCACCTTGATCGGCCACCAGCATTCTTACGTCATTTCATTCACAAGTTTGATGTCCTGGTTCTCAACACAGGTCACCACTGGAATCGAGGAAAGCTCAAAGGTAATAGATGGGTAATGCATGTTGGTGGTGTGCCAAATACAGATAAGAAAATAGCAGTGATTTGGGGTGCCAAGAATCTGACAATTCACAGTGTTGTTAGTTGGGTGAATTCACAGCTTCCTAACCATCCTGGTTTGAAGGTATTCTTTCGGACCATCTCCCCTAGGCATTTTTTGGGCGGGGAATGGAACACAGGAGGCAGTTGCAACAACACTGCCCCCATGTCCATTGGAAAGGAGATAATAGATGAGGAGTCTACCGATAAAAATGCAGCGCATGCTGTGAAGGGAACAGGGGTCAAACTCTTGGACATAACGGCAATTTCTCAGCTCAGGGATGAGGGTCATATTTCACGATTCAGCATTACTGCCAAGCCTGGCGTGCAGGATTGCCTACATTGGTGTTTGCCAGGTGTTCCTGATACATGGAATGAAATACTCTTTGCACAAATATAGTAAGTACATGATGCCAAATGAAGAATATTTCGTTGGTCTCGAAATGGCCAATTATAGCCATTCCATGGCTTTGAGGAGGTTATGGGATGAAAGACGAACTTCTGAGCTGATCTGGCGGGAGATTCAAAGTTGTTTGGTGCGGAGACACGCTCACATCGCATTGATCATAACACGTTTTTATTGCTCCTTTGCATGCTAGCGAAGTAGGAAAAGAAGCTCCTGGAGATGGTCACTATGAATTCGGATTTGGATTCAGCGAAAGACTAGTTATTCTGTGAAAGGCAGCAAAAATCTATGTATTTTAAGTTTTAATTACATCTTAAGATTATTAAACGAAAACCTCATGGTCACGTTGTATTACAGATTAAGAATGGCTACAATTAGGTAGCTGGCATGGAATTTTACTGCCTTTTACTGAATTTGTTTCTTATTAAGTATAAATCCTTGTCAGGTGGCCCCTCAAGATAGCCCCTCTTTGGTAGGGGTAAGATCAGGAATTTTGAGCCAACTTACCGAAATTTTTTATTTTTGGGTGTACGATATGACTGAAGTTTTAAACTTATTTTGTTAATTGAATTCAGTACCATTCATCAGGGAAATCTCGTGGGATCTTCAATTCCATAGATTCTTTTTTGTTTTGGTACTTTGTCTACTCTTGCCACATCATGAAAATTGAAAAGACTTTATTTTTTTTTTGGGAGAAATCTTCTAATTTTAGTAAAAGGAAATTTGTAGTGGGACAAGGCAACTTTCATTAATTTTTTTAATTTTCAAAAAATTGTCTGAATTTAAGGAGTGTTGTTATCAAATCAATTGCAAGTACAGATATTATCTAAGCTGAAAACTGAAGGTTGATGGAGGACCAAATATAAATATTTGTCATCCATCATAATTTTCTTTCTCATTTCTATGAACTACTTCACAAACTAAGCTGACTACTGAGTGCTAGCTTGAACTTAACATTTCACGTTTTGTTGTGTAATCTTCGCATGGCTTGGTTCTACTGATGCAACTTCCTTCTAAAATGACGAACCAGGTCCGACAGATTGTTTTTGGATTCAAGCCTTAAACATTGTCAAATGGTCTCCCTATCTTAAATGACACGCCACGGCAAGACGTGTGGAGCTACACGAGCAACTTTTATTGCCAGAACATAATACGTATACAATAATAAACCACTATTGAACGTTGGAAGAAGACGGCCGCCGTTCATTTTATTTATTTAGTGATTTAGTGCAATCTAATTATAAAAAAAAAAAATCAAAGAGCGTGATCGTCCAAGTTTTTACAAAATTCTTTTACTGCTAAACATCGTTATTAAGTTTTTTTGAATTGCAAAATTTAGAAGACAGATAGGTTATTTTTCTCCTTCTTCTTTTTTAAGGAAAAAAAGTAAAAAGACAGATAAGTTATTCTATCTTTAAGATCTTGTGACGGATGGCGAAATCATCATCAACATATAATAGATAACTATTCCAGAAAAGTTAAGCTTATGAACAGTAAAATGGGGATATTTTGCAATTTTTTAGATGAACAGAATGAGGAAAAATAAAATTACTTTGTAATTAAGAAAAGAAAAGATAAAAAACAAAAAAAATAAAATATAATGTAATAAATATATAGACGACATAATTATAAATGCCAATAGAACAATAATATAAAATATAATTATATATATAATATAAGAATACATTAATCTAACTAAAAGTTTATACTTTTTTTTCAAGAGTTAATTTATACTGATAATGTGTTATAAAATATAGCTAACGTGAAAAGCAAAGAAAAACAAGACAATACAAGAAATGGAAAGAAAATAATAGAAGAGAGTTTTTATTTATTTACTTCTATACATATGTTTTGAACATAATCTCTATTTATAAGCATCCAACAATTCAAATCCTTCCTAATATTGTAAAGATATAAAGAGATATATAGTGTTATATTATGTAATCTTTGAAGATTATATGCTATTAGTGATTAGAAATTCTTTTCATACGATTCATTAAAACATTAAAAATAAAGGAATCTAAAGAACTGTGAGTTATGACATTCATAACATAATATTTATAATAATTTTCAACTAATTTTGATATTAACTTTTTTGAAACAATCCTAAAGACACAGTACCTGTTGGAATATTCATTTAATTATGGATTAACATTAATTAACAAGCCCAAACAGATTGGTCTTTATGATTTGTGTGGACCGTGATAAGAGGACCACACAAGTGAGCCCAATGGGCAGAGGACCAACCCACAAACCAGTAGTCGTCAGTTATTCCCTATCTCTTAACTGACTGAGTCAGAGATAATAAGATATATAATTATTTATTATTTAATAAGGCGGTTACCGATCTGATCTATATTAGTCGATAACCGCACATACACGACTCATTCTTCTACTCTATTATCTCTAAACTCTCTGTAAGCTCTAGGGACCTGTAGGTTGTGTACTTGCCTACACTCGAGATAATCGAGCTTTCTCAAGCGCTCATGGATTCTTCAAGTACGCATGAATTACTTTATTTATCATATCTAATTATATATATATATATATATATAGAATTGAGATATTCAATCTAACACTTGGCATCAGAGCCTGGTTATGAATATTAATCTATATATCTCAATTCAATATTCTTAAAGAGATGATGATAAATTGAATATGATAATGATGATTTTGGATATGTGATTTTGGTTTAAATCTGTTATATTTATGATGAAACCATTAGCATGATTCATTAAAAAAAAAGGGATGAGAAATGAGGTCGGTGCGAATGTCCACGACCATAAAATTCTAGATTCTTCAGCGTGGTGAAAGGAGGAGTCGCGGAGGTGGTCGTCGGCGTCGTGACGGCAGCGAGTTCTGCTTCAGTTTCACAACGCTGCACAGTCGCCGGTCGTCTTCCGTTCAGTCAGCGAGTTCTGCTTCAGTTTCACGGCGCTGCACAGTCGCCGGTCGTCTTCCGTTCAACAACCCTCGCCGGCGACATCCCCATTCTCAGCTCCTTCTGGATCCAGCTCGTGGTCAAGGAAAGATGCCGTTCAGCAGCGTCTGCTTCTCGCGGCGTCGTGGTGGCCGACTGGCTGTTCACATTCGCCGACATCCTGGTTGTTGCACAATCACCAGCGAGCTCCTCCTTTCTCCTATGGGTTGCGGCAGCCAAGGACGCTGCAGCAGGGACATGCTAGGATTCGGTTTCATGATTCTAGGGCCCAAATTTCGTTTGGGCCCAGATCCATAAAAAAATTAGGGAGAAGCTGGCGACGCAAATGAAACTGGATCCTAGGGATCCGGTTTCCTTGTGTCTGGGCCTGGTTCAAAAAAAAACTTCTGTTAATTGCGTTTCGGCCTCAGTTTTAAATTACCTCCTTAGACCCACAATTTATTGAATTTATGAATTAGCCCCATTATATTTTAGAAATTATATTTTAGTCCCTTAACTTTCAGAATTGCAGTTTTGAGCCAAATATCTTCAGAATTACTTATTTGTCCCTGATTACCTTTCAAAATTTCACTTGAGTCCTAGATTCATTTCCTAATTCCCAAAAGACCCTAAGGACTTTTAAAATTATGTTGTTTTATCCTAAGGTCATAAAATTTATGATTTTGTGAATTATTAATGATGCTTAGGATCTTGTAGCATGGATAATGGACATACCCCATAGGTGTGACATTATTAATGTGATTTTGATGGTTGGCCTTGAGGATAGGCTAATAACACTCCTTTAATGTGTTTAGATATTTGTTGTACCCTATAGGTATGGAAATATTTAATACATTATTTTATAGAGACTTTTGTATGAGCTAAATTTTTTATGGTATATGAGCCTTCTTGGTGCATGATTATAGTTGCATAATTGATAATCACTTGTTAGGGAATTCTGTTTTATAATTATGTTATGCACGCATAATTAATTTTTGCCAATTTCTATTTTGCGATTTCAGTTTCTACTTTTACGCAACAATCCTTTGTGAAGGTTCTAAATGGGACTAACTATGATGACTGGAAAGAGTCCCTCAATATGTATCTGACCATTTCTGAGAAAGATTTAGCTCTGAGAGAGCCCAAGCCTGCGGATCTCTCTTCCGAGTCCAGTGCTTCTGAAATAGCCTTCCATAAACAATGGAGTGAGTCCAACCGAATCTGTCTAGCGATCATCAAGTACACAATTGAAAAGGGAATTAGGGACAGCATTCCTAAAAATGATACTGCAGTAGAGTACTTGAAAGCTATTGGTAACAAATACAAGAAGCTTGACAAGACTCAAAAGAAGTACTATCTGTCACTTTTTGACAATACTCAATATGACGGAGTTTCTGGTGTCAGGGAGCACATTCTGAAGCTTGTTCATTACTACAACAAGCTTAAGTCATATGGGATTGATTTGGGTGAAAGACCTTAGTTTACCGTGTTCTTCAATCACTGCCATCAGAGTACGCATTCTTGAGGACTTCATACAACTCACAAGAAGCTAAATGGTCTGTTGACCAGATGATATCGATAGTCACTCAAGAAGAGGAAGCTATAAAGAAAAATTCCTCTCACTCAATAAACTATGTTTCTCATGGCTCTAGCAGCAAATCTGGAGGGTCATATAGGAAAAGGGAAAGAAGCATGATGCCCCAAAGCCTAATAATCCAACCTTTAAGAAGGCTGGTGATAAGAGTGAGAAGTCAAGGAAGAAACCCTTTAAAGGGTTATGCAATTATTGCAAGAAATCCGGGTCACATTAAAGCTAATTGCTTCAAATTGAAGAACAAACAAGAAAGTGAAGGTACAACTCTTCAAACTGCCCCTCTAGCTCTAGTTTGTTTTGAATCTAATACTATTAAAACTTCCTTTGACTCATGGTGGCTGGATTCTGGTGCCACTGTACATATTGTGAATTCTCTACAGGGGCTAAGAAACCAGAAGGTTCCAAGTGAGGCACAGAGGTTAGTCTTTGGCATAGCAGGGAGCAAGGCATCAGTTGAATGCATTGGAACTGTTTCTTTGTATTTAAATTTCTGGTCATGTTTTACATTTGAACAATGTTGTTTATGTACCTTCTGCAAGAGAAATTTAATTTCAACTTCTGCATTGGATATTTGTGGCTATTCATTCTTCCAAGGAAATGGGAAAATTGACATTTGTTTTGATTCCATTAATGTTGGTGTCGCTTCCTTGATATATGGTTTATATCGATTGAATGATTGGTCACTTGAACTTCCTAATCTCCATATCAATGCTGCTATTGGGCATAAACGTCAAAGGCCCAATGATAATTCCTCTATGTTATGGCATCGTCGTTTGGGTCATATCTCTAGAGAGAGATTGGAGCGCATGACCAAGCAAGGTGTCTTACGAGACCTTGATTTCTCAGATTTTGAGACTTGTGTTGACTGTATAAAGGGAAAATTCCCTGCTAGAGCTAGA